AGAAATGTATACTCGTGTTTCTTAGTCCTGTTCAAAATGGAGGGCATTTTGAAATTCCTCCTGGACAGGAGGTTTAAATGGAGGACGTGTGCTAGAAAAGTCACTCGGCATATGTGTTACTAGGGTTAGCCAGACTAAAAACTGGAGAGGACATTGTCGTGTGCCTTTTTAGTCTTTCCCAACCTAAGGCAACCCTAAAGGTACCCTCTCATGGGGGTTTCTTGGCAAGGTTGGCTCAGCGGAGGTTTGCATTGCCTTCCCCTGAGGCTGAGAGACTGTGACTTGACCAAGGTCATCCAGTGAGTTTCATGGCTGAGCAGGGATTCAGACGCTCAAACCACTAAACTACGCTGGCTCACCTCCGATACCTGCACACAGTTTGATTCATCCCTGGGTGACTGCGTAAGGATGAAACAATTGGCTTGTTGTGTGCCTGAGTTGTTTCCATCCTTTGTTCAGAGGAGGTTTGTATTTTTGCCTTCCTGTGAGGCTGAGAGAGTGTGACTGGACTAAGCAGCACACAGTGGGTTTACGTGGCTGAGCCAGGATTCAAACCCTGGTCTTGCAATGTTCTAGTCCAACACTCAGGCCACTACATCACACTGTCTCTTCATCCATACACAACACCACACTCCTAGTTGACTGCACGATGATGGTTTGTTGTTGTGTGTCTTCACATTGTTTCTCACCCTGGGAGGTGAATTGGGACTTTGAACAGTGATTAACCCGAGAAAATCACGCATTAAAACACCATTAAAATTAGATTAACACACAAGAGCGATTATCAAGTGAATAACCAGGGAATAACCAGGCAATAAACTGCAAAAAGTCTTCCACAGAAAAATATCGTGAATGATTTGCTACTGTTTCTTGCCTGGTTATTCACGGGTTAATGGCACTTTAATCACGTTTCGCCTCGACGTCGTGTGAAAACCATTTGTGCAATTGCACAATAATAATGGGTTATTCACGTGTGAATACCATTTGCCAAATGCACGATAATCACGGGTTATTCCTGGGATAATATCACTTTGAACCCGACGTCGTGTGAAAACCATTTGCTCAATTGCAGGATTATCTCAGGTTAATCACCATTTATATTTCCAATTGTCCCCCCCCCTGTGATAAACTCCTCCCAGGGTTTTCTCAGCAGGATTTGTTCAGAGGGGGTTGGCTTTATCTTCCTCTAAGGCTGAGAGTGTGTCACCCAGTGAGTGGGTTTCTATGGCCAAGTGGAAATTCAAACCCTAGGGTTGTAGACTGTACAGTGATCCCTCCACATTTGCCAGGACCACCATGAAATTAGAAAAACTGAATTAGGAGGAATAGCTAATACCCCAGAGAACAGGATCAGAATTCAAATTGGCCTTCACAGATTAGAAAGTTGTGCCGAAACTAACAACATTAATTTCAACAGGGAGAAATATCTGATTCTACACCTGAGCAGCAAAAATGAAATATACAGATGACGTTAAACACCTGGCTTGATAGCAGTATATGTGAAAGGGATCTAGGAGTCTTCATGGACCATAAGCCATGTTTAAATATTTGAAGGGATATCATATTGAGGATGGAGCAGGCTTGCTTTCTGCTGCTTCAGAGATTAGGACACAGATTATTGGATTAAAATCATAGGAAAAGAGATTCCTCCTAAACCAGCAGTAGGCAACCTAAGGCCCGGGCGCCGGATGCGGCCCCCCAAGGCCTTTGGACCAGCCCCAGGCTGGTCCTGCCGCCGCCACCCGCCATGATGATATTGATTATTGTTGTTATTACTTGTTCTTGGGGTTTTCTTGGCAAAATCTCCACAGGGGTTTTGCCATGGCTTTTCTGGGGCTGAGAGAGTGTGCATGCATATTTTTTTTTAAATTATTTTTATTTATTTATTTTTTAATTTATTTATTTTTGGTGCTTCGGCCCCCTAATTGTCTGAGGGACAGCAACCTGGCCCCCAGCTCAAAAAGGTTGCCTACCCCTGTCCTAAACATTAAGAAGAAGTTTCTGACAGTAAAAGCTATTTGACAGTAGAATACACAGCCTCAGAGTGTGGTGAAGTCTCCTCCTTTGGAATTTTTTAAACAGAAGCTAAATGGCCATTTGTTGGGGTGCTTTGATTGTGTCTTCCTGCATGGCAGGGGGTTGGACTG